GGGGGGAAGGCGAAGATGAAGTCAGCATTTTTCTATTTCTCGCTTAGAAAAAATTTTACGCACGTCTTTGTTGTTGTCATGAAACCAACACAATATGTCCTGGCATAATTTTAATCTCGTTTGTGATTTTGTATTCGCGCGCCCTCTTTATTTGACTGGTGTTTCTTTACCACTTGGACGGCCTCTGAAATGGTGCATATACGTCGAATCAGCAAGGGGTACCAACAGGAGACGTGTAGTTCAAAATGAAGGGACAAGGCATAGCTGCTGCCAGAATGTGGCGGCATCGCAATGATATCCCTAACATGCAACCCTCGTACCCCTTATTCGACCGGTCTTAGTGTTCCTGTTGCCTTGTTTTTCCGAGATTCTCCAAAAACTTTCCTATAATTTTATCCATAGACGCAACAACTGTTCTTGTTTGCCCTATGAAGAGAAATGCCATTATATCAGTCAAATGTTTTTATGATTTTTCATGCGAAATGATTGTGTCTTGATGGAAACTGTAAGGTTGAGGTTTCCAGAATGTGGCGATGTTGACGAAGGCTTTGCATGAGCGCGACAGCCGACTTCACTTTATGCCTCATAATTTTTGGTCAAATCATAACAGGCGCGTTGTTTTAAATTCTGTAAGTATTTTCTCAATTAAAATTAAAAGAAATAAGACGTCCTCCACTTTTCTGAAAGTAAGAACGTACTTAAAAATGGCCTTAGAGACATATGCGTCAACAGTAATCATATGCTGTTAAGGCTGTTGATGGCTTTCCGTTCTCAGCGTTGCCTAATTTATGATTCTCCGGTAGGCACAGATTTTGGAATTTGCAGGGAAGCATCAATTTCTCCTCTCTCTCCTTCCTGTCAATGCGAAAAATTAGTGGCATTCTGCCAAGAGCTCTTCCGAATGGAAAGATTGGTCACAACTATGTAAAAATCCTTAAGAAGGCTATTGGACAAACATAACATTTTTCTCTGATCCAGTCCATTTATCAGTCGAAAGCAGAATGAGGCAAAGCGGCTCTGTTTTTGCGACCTCCTTCGAGATAATGTTTCGGAAGTTGTATTAGAAAGGCAATCTGGAGATCAGTGGCATCCAAACAAATAATCTGCATTGCACGGATAGTATCGTTTTTACTGCAAAATCAGATGCTGTAGGAGCTCAAATCACGAGAAACAGGCCTAAAAATTAGCGCATTTTAATACAAAGGTGATGCAAAGTGCCGTTATGTCTATAACAAAATTGCACGTAGTCGGTGTGGGCTTGGATGAGGCTTTGAGCAGGAAGTAAATTTGCTGCACATTCTCAACCGGCAACTGCACAGAGAAGGGAGGTACTAGCGCGGATTTCATAACATTGCCGATGTCGTTGAAGTGTCGAATCGGAAGGGCCGTGCCCACTTCTACAATTCTGCCGTGTTAAAGTCATGACGTAGGTGGATACGCAGTCACCGATGAGAGCTGAAAAGCAGGCGCTAGGTGTGGCAGAGAAAGCGGTGGAGCGAATAATTGTTAGCGTTTCTCTTCGCGACCATACGAACAGTTAGAGTCTTCCTCAAAATGAATAGCGTGTCGGATGTCGTCGTGAACACGCGGTAACATAAAATTTGGTGGGAAAGATGTGTTGCTGGCATCACCCCATAGTCAGTGCATATAACTCATTGATAAATGGAATATGCGAAAAAGAAAGCGGCTGTTCGGGCAGTCTCGAAAAGGTGGTGTACGCGCATCGAATAACGAGTGCTCATGCATCTTAAAATGAGATTCGATATAGCTTCGCTAAGCATGTGGGAACATTTCAGTAACATCACTAAGATGGGAGCACCCCAACTTAACTTGGGCAGTTTTGACATCGTTTTTTTTTTTTTTTTTTTTTTTGGG